CCTACTACTTTTTTCATTTTAATTTATGGACTTTTTCCTCCAAATTATTTCTTCTATATTACTTAAGCTAAAATCTAACTATCAAAACAGAAGAAATCACTGTCTTTGAAAATCAAATTTTTACTTGGCCAAGGGGTTTCAAATTACTTATTGCATGGGGTTTCAATATACCTATCTTGAAAACATGCGTTTGTAACTTTTTCTTTATGCTAAGTCACATGAAAAGGTTAAATACACTCACACTCTATAGAAATACTAAGCTCTAAGCAACTTCTTTAAATATATTTAAATGAGGAATCAAAATTAAAAAGATAAGGGCCACATTTAGTACAAACTATGAAAGTAACAAAACAGTAGCAACATGGCTAACATTTATTGAACTCTTAACTATATAGCAACTATTGTTCTAAGCAATCTGCATGTATTATCTCACTTGATCCTTACTAATAGGAATGAGTATTATCTCTATTTTATGGATGAGAAACTGAGAGAACATTTGTCAAAGGTCAAATTAGCTAGCCAGCTAGCAGCAGAGACAGATTTTGAGTAATAGGCATGCTTACTCTAGAGCCCTGTATCCTCAATTGCCTCACTCAAGTAACTTGTTGTGTGTGTTATCAAGTTTCAGACAATAAACAATAAGTTTCATTTAGACTAAAACCAGCTATTCTAACAATATGGCTGTCACTGAGAATAGAATAATAAATATCTAAAAGCTCTCTTGCTTCAAATATAGTCTATCAATTTCATGACAAAAAGTAAAAGGCGCACTACCAAAATATTCATTAGAACCTGAGAAGAGGTGTAACTTCCAAAAATCAACAGAAGACACATTAAAATTATTGCATAAACTTTAGAATTTTACCTATATTCTCTGGGATGTAAGTGGATTCACCAGAGACAGAGTGGGGAGTGGATCTACTGAAATGCCCTGCTGAGGGGAGCAGCAGGTGGGTTAGGAGAGGTCTGCTGTGCCATGTGGGTCAGCTACCCTAGCTGGGGAGCAAACCTTGCTGTAGTGGCTCTGGATAGATTCATAGTGCTGTGCTTTTTAATTCCTGTGCCACTAGGGAGGGCCCTTTCCCTCAATTTAAAAGGGGTATAGCTACCTAAGAGTTGAATAAAATGTTACAAATACTATATGTGTCAATGCTTTGATCTGAAGGTATTTAGTAGGAACATATCCAAGATGTGTGGCTCTGGCACGCAGCTGAGGTCAAGGGAGGTCCATACATACTCCTAGAACTATGAAACTACCTGGAAATTAAAATTGGTGCTTTACCCAGAATTAGGGTTATTATCAACAATAACCTTTCTATCTGAATAACCTATCTACCTGACAGGGCTTGCAAGCATCTGTTAGAGTACTGCTCTACATTATGTGATTTGCACTGTCACATGAGTTTCCTTTCCTCACTTTCTTCCAAGCCCAAGGTTCTAACCATTCTTTAATTTATGATATATAATTCCATTCTGCCTCACTGTTTTTGGAATTCTAATGTCAATGCAGATGTCCCATAACATGTACATATCTAGTCTGCTAGTCTAGTATGTACAACCACCCCAAGAACCCAGAGAAATAGGAGAAAATTTTCCCTCCTCTCAAGATAACTCTTTCTTGTATTTAGATTTTCACCTAAGGAAGTGTTTTTGGAACAATCAAAAAAGCAAACAGAAAAACTAGTGAACTTAAAAACACCATTAAAAAAGTTGCAATCTCAGGCCCTCCCTGGTGGCTCAGCAGGTTAAAGCACAGCACTAAGAAGCTAAAGCCACTTCAGCATGAGTTCGATCCCAGCCTTGGAGGTGACCCACATGGCACAGCAGACCTCTCTTGACCCGCCCGCTGCTCCCCTCAGCAGTGTCTTTTGTCAGTCGGTTGTTCTGCTCTCCATTGTCTGGTGAATCCTCTCACCACCCCTGCACCTCTGGTGAATCCTCTCACCACCCCTGCAGCTCTGGCCTGTATCCCAGTTCTGTATGCATAAATAAGTAAGTCTTTAAAAAAATGTAAAATGAAAATGCTGCAAAAAGTTAATAATGGCATCCCCTGGTGGTGAGAATCAATCTTACATTTTAACTTATAACATTATTGTTTCCTAAGCTTTCTAATGGGATGTAATTTTTATAACTGAGGACAAATAAAGAAAGGAAACAATATTATAGACATACTTTAATACAAATGACAAATTCTCATCTGGGCATACCTCACTCATACAATCCCATTACTTTTTTAAATGTAAAATCTCTGAACATAAATCAACCTATATTTTCATTTTCCATATTCAAAAAGTTGAGTTGAGAATTAAAAATTTAGCTACCACATTAAATGTGAACTGTGAAAAAAATGATAACTTTTAACCTGTTGTTTGATGTTATTAATGTAAAAAAGAATGTATCTCTAAGAATTAAAGTGTTAACCACAACCACATCCTAAAAATATACTATGAAAGTGTAGAGTAATTCATAAAAATTTGTTTTTTCTACAAGTAATTTTTTTCTGTGTACTTCTGAGACTTAGTAAGCAGAATTACACCTTTGTAAAATACACAAGTAATACCACAGAGTTAACGTTGTACTTGGGATGAGCTGAGGTAATTTAATATTTGGATAATCAGAACAAGGAGCAAAATAAGAATCTTTTGTGCATCTAATTTATAGAAGTTAGACCTAAAAGAGCTATAAAAATGACTAACAAATGGTTGTAAAGTAACCTATAAATATAAGTGCCATTATAATTATAGTCAATTAGCACAAATCATATTGCTTTGCATTTAAAAGTATTCTATAAATAATTCATACTACTCCATCTAGAATTTTAGACTCAGGAAAGAAGAAAATATAATGTCCATTGGTATAATAAGAAATAACATTGTAAAATCAAACTGATTTTTCAATGTAATTGTTCACTTTCACAGTTTAAATATTTACAGCAAATAAATATCTGACAGCACCAGAAATAAAAATGAGACAGAAAGGATACATTAAATAAGTAATTTGAGCAAAGGAAATGACATGGGAAGAAACAGTTTACTTTTTTTTTTTTTTTAAAGATTTATTTATTTGTGCATACAGAACTGGGGTACAGGCCAGAGGCTCAGGGGCGGTGAGAGGCTTCACCAGAGACAGAGTGGGGAACAGAACAGGCAGATCGACGAAGTACACTGCTGAGGGGAGCAGCGGGCGGGTCAGGAGAGGTCTGCCACACCATGTGGTCACCTCCGGGGCAGGCAGGAATCGAACTCATGTGGTAGTGGCTTTAGATTCTCAACGCTGTGCCTTAACCCGCTGCGCCACCAGGGAGGGCCAGATACAGTTTACTTTTAATAATAACACTGCCTGTCATGTAGATGGCAGATAATAGTTAACAGAATTAAGTTTCCTAATTTAATATTTTGAACAATCTTAAAGTCTAAGAAACCAATGTATTATAGTTGTGAGATAAAATATTAAATGCCTCTTTCTAGTGGGATAGAGTTAAGATTTAAGCTTCCTAAGTTTGTTTTCAATGATTTAAAGTATTTATATGTATACTGACTCTTTAAATCCCATACCTGCAAAAATAAAAGCTGGAAAGTTTCACTCTTTACAAATCTTTAATGTTTCTTCTAAGTCATCCAATCTTGTGTTATAATCATCACATACATTCTCTTTACCTATACCACATTTTAAAACCTCTTAGGGACAGCATTAATTATACAGCATCTTTTTCTCTATTTCACATAGCTTAATAAAGAGTCTTGACTAACACTGAACATTCTGCAGACTATCTCTGAAAAAGAATTAAGGGCTGGTAATTCCTTGCAGGTTAAATAAAATAAAACCTTCTGGACATAACAGTAATGTAAAGTTCTCTCTACAGGTGGAGAGATGGCAATACTATTTAGAGTATGCATAGTATTTGTCTGCTGTCAGGCAAGCAGGAACCAGACCAAAGGGCCTTCCTCCCTTTTCCCTTCAAAGGTCAGATTCCACCCAAGTCACTGTTTCTCAGTTAAGGTCAGATTCTGCCCAGGTTCATTTTAGGGGACCTTCAGAGACTGATGTGATAACTTGGGAGGCCTTCAAGTAATCTGCAAGCAAGGAGAATAAATTCTAAGTTTTACCTGTGAGTCACTGATAAGGTAAGAATCCAAAGGAAAACCTAGAAGGTGGACTACAAAACCCACTGAATCCAAGTCTTTACCCTGAATTTAAGCTACACCAGGCAAAGCTCACTACCAGTATTTAAGCTACACCAGGTAAAGCTCACTACCAGTATGACTTCATTGGAAACTCTACAAATGCCTCTTAAACTTAAATGGGCCCTCAAAGTGAAAAACGAGTATATCCTAAGGTGTATACCACATGTTAAGTTTTCTAACTTTCTCCAGGTTATTTCCCCGTCCTGTAGATAGTAATTGATAGGCAATTTGACAGAACAGATGAGCAATTAAAAACAATTCAAAATTCAGTATCTGGAAATGAATAGAAAAAGATCTAAAAGGATTGACAACAGTATGAACAGCAGTTATCTCTGGGAGGGACATGAGTGAAAGTACATGAAGTAATTTTCATTCATTAAATATACATTGCATCGTTTAAATTTTATGCCATTAATTCACTTATGTAATTTAAAAAATAAAGAAATAAAATTTTGAAATGTGATTTTTCAAAAGATTGAAAATATCTATATGAAATTCAAATGAAAAATATATGCCATTTTGCAGAAGATGATCAAAAAGCGATATAAAGTTATCCTATCGAACAAAAAAAAAGACCAATAATGGAACAAAAAAAAAAATGGTCCAGTAATTGTCACCAACTGCAAGATTCATTACTTTGATTATACAATATTAGTCACCACTAGAGGGCGTCTGCATACCCTACCCCCAAAATTATACCCCATTTTCAATCTTAACTTGATATAAAAAGTTAGGCTGGGCCCTCCCTGGTGGTGCAGCGAGCTAAATCACGGCACTAACAAGCAAAAGCCACTTCAGCATGAGTTCCATCCTCACCCTGGAGGTGATCCACATGGCCCAGCAGACTTCTCCTGACCCACTGGCTGCTCCCCTCAGCAGTGTACTTGTCAGTCGGCCTGTTCTGCTCCCCACTCTGTCTCTGGTGAATCCTCTCACCACCTGTACCTCTGGTCTGTACACCAGTTCTGTATGCATAAATAAATCTTTAAAAAGTTAGGCTGAATACAGTGTTTACAGCAATCCATAATTCATAAAAAATAGTTTTTAGTTTAGGTTTAGGTTTTTGTTACCAACAGAACATTACCTCACTAGTTTTATTTTTCCTAAGAACAACATACATAATACATGGTTCTTATGAAAAATTGTATCTATACATATTAAAAACTCACATGTCACTGGGATTCCTAAGTTCCTTGTGAGAAAAAAGTTTTCCAATTTGAAAATATAAATACCTGAATTGGATAACCAATTTTATCATTTCAGTGGAGAGTCAATATTCTCCAATTGTTTGTCATGACAACTTGAGAGTTGAAAAGCATTACAAATATTTTATAAAACTATGATTCCTTCATAATAAGAAAAAGGGGTCACCGACTGTACAACAAAAACAGCATAACCCACCCAAAATGTCTAATATAGTCATTATACATTTTAGCAAAGCAAAATTTGATAAAACATTAAGTTAAATTTGTGACTTTGGCATCCTAAAAAGTAGACAAATTAATACTAAACTTTAATATTAGCTTATTTTTTTAAAAAAACTTGAGATTACATTGAAAATAGTCAAAATCATCATAAATTAGGGAACAGGGGCAAAAAAAAAAACAGGTAAAACTACATAGCAGATTTTGAACAGGATTTTATTTAGTTTATCAGTTCATAATCTAGTCACCAAAAAAAAAAGTTAATCAACCCCATATATATCTCCTTTCCTGCCAGCACACATAAGGCTACTTCTCTCCCCCATGGCTATTAATTTTCCTTATCTTAACCAAGTTTCTATAAACAAAAACCAGGACACACAAGTTTCCACTCTTATTCTACAACTGTGTCCTCAACATGAAGTAGCTCATCATTCTCATCCTGCTTTCCTCACTTTTTAACCTGTTCTGGAGACCAGTCCACGTCAATACTAGATCATTAGTTCTGCCACAATTTTCATCTGCATATTTAGGCTAAGGTTTAATGACATCCTGTTCCATCAACTACTTAGCACCGAGTGAGTTTTCTTCCCTCAAAGTGATTGTAAACCAGATTTCAAGCGACCAAAGAGAAAATTTCCAGAGAATGCAACTCTATCTAAATTATACTAGTCCTAAAATGTTTTTCAAGGAGGTAAAGGGAAAACATGCCACAATTTACTCCCCTTCATCACTTAAAAATAAAGCTACAAATTAGAATGCAATTTTCAAGTGAAGTTATCTTTTTTTTGACGTGGGGAGATCAGTGAATAGTCAAATCATCAAAGCCTGTAAGGTTTCTTTACTTCTTGTACTTACACTGTAAAAGAAAACATTTTTTTATTTGTTTTTAAATAATATAATAGTTTATTTTTACATCATTTGTGCATTTTTCCATCTGAGGTCTAATGCCCGTGGGCTTCCCATCACCAAATCACCCATGTGCCATCACCATAGTCGAGAAAACGTTTTCTTTTTAAGGCTGGAAAGCCTTATAAGTCGTTTAGCATGACATTCTAATAGCGAGAAACCACAACCTGATCTGATCTTTCATCTGGCAGGTCAGAGGCCAAGGCTCTTCTCTTTCAGGATTCTACTACTGTTAACGGGGCGATTTCTACACAAGCGAAAACACTATCATGACTCTAAACCCTGCTGTGCTACGTGTTGGAAATTAATTACACACCAAGAGCCAGGGCGCCAGAATCGGCCAGACTACAGTCCGCTGGTGGACAAGGATCAGGAAAAGTCGACCACCGCGATGACAGGGTGGGTGCACGAAGCAAGCCCCGGCGCGGACAATCTCGAACCCGCGCCGCTGGAGCCGGACCCGCGAGCCGCGCGCTCCGCTGGGACTGAGCCCCGGAACCACCACCAGTAACGGAACGAGCCCAGGAGCGGCAGGAGCCGCCGCTCGGACGGCAGAACGCAGCGCGCGGGCCGGGCGCCGCGAGGGCGGGGGCTCCCCGGAGGAGCTGGCCGCCCCGGCGCCCCATTGGGCGCCGCTCCAAACGTGCCCGAGTTGTGACAGGAATAAAGTGGGTCACAAGGCCTAGCGGGTCCCCAGCGAAAGTCCTCTAAGCACCGGGTCTCCGGCTTTCCCGGCCAAGCAGCAGCAGGAATCGGCCCCAGCCCCCAGGCACACTTCGGCCACCCGGCCCCGGCGGGCACCCCAATCCGGCCCCTGCCCCGCAGGTAACCCCAGCTGCCCTTCAGGGCCCCTGAGGCAGGGCGGGCCTCCGCCGCAACTCCCGGGAAAAGACACACTACGGCGACAGGCAAAACTTGGGCTTCAGCTCCCGCCTTCCCCTTCCTTGGCCGCCGCCCCCCGGCCCCACACACACCGCCCCCCGCTCCCACCCCTTCCCCGCGCCCTCACCGTGTGGCTGGCGGCGGCTCAGGCTTTTTCTCTCGCCCACCCTGGAGTCTGACGGTGACTCGGAACCAACACCCCGGCTGCGTCCAGGAGACAGCGCAGCTCCCCGCAGCAGCAGCACCTAGGGCTGAGTTGCGCCCCCCGCCCACCCCCCCAAAATTCACCGCTATCGCCGCCCGCTCCTCCTCCCCCTCCCTTCCCTTCCCCTCCTCCACCGGCATGGGGAGCACGCATGCGCCGCCAAGGCAAGCCTACCGGCAAACGTCAAACCTCGGGCCCACCCGGTGGGGCGCCACTCACCGGGAGCGCGCACGCGTTGGCCGCCAGATTTCTTTAGCGCTCCCGCTCACGGGGGTTTCCTCTTCGGAGCCGGTAGCCGCAAGCCCAGGCTGTGATTGCGCTACCTCTCGGCGCATGCGTCGTCACTGACCCCCGCGGGCCTCGACGGCCCGCCGGAGCTGGGCGCTGGCCCCTCCCCTCACTCTCCCTTTCCCCTGAGTTGCTCGGCGCGCATGCGACTTGCCCCGTTAGGCAGCGCGGAGCTGCGGAGGGGAGCCCGGGCGCTTGAGGAGGTTCCCGGTGGTTCGCGTGGTCCGCGGCCGCCGCCGCCAGGCGCGGACAAAAACCAGGATCTCCTCGGCGCCCCCGTTCCAGCGCCGGTTACTGGAAAGCCATGGAGGCGGGGTCTAGTCGGGCGGAGGGTGCGGCCGGTCTAGAGAGCGTTAGCGTTAGGTCGGAGCTGCTTTAGCTTTCACCCTGGATGCGGAGAGACGGGAGAAGAAAGAGCTTCCTGCGGATGAGGGATCCGCTCTCTCTCTGGAAAACAGTCACTTTGCTGACGCCAAGGACGGTTTTCGGGTGTTGGCAGAGAAAGACTTTATCTTCCTGCAGAGGCATCGTCACTCGCGTTTCTGCTCCCGGGGCTGGGAGAGGGGGAGTTGCAAAGGTGATGGGATGGGCAGAACGTCCTTCGCTGGAGAGCGCGTCCAGGGGTCGCTTCTTAGTGGTGGGTGGGTCAAAGGAAGACTGGTCTTGTCCTCCTCTAGTGGGGAAAGGGAGGCCAAAGGTCAGGCCTCCCGCGCCTTTCGTTAAAGGCCAGGTGATTTTATAGGGGGAGATGGGGAACGAACCAGAGGAGACAAACCTGGACCCTAATTTGCAGGGTTTCTTTTATTAGAAACGCTCCCTGCTTCCTGCTTAACTTGGTGGAGGCGGGAGGTGAATTACTTTACTTGATGCTTAAGTAACCCTTGGTCCACATGGGAAAACACCTATCATAGTTGTAAGTTACTGTAAAGGAAATATTTACATTATTGATTGACTACTACTAGTTTTGTCTTTGTTATGCTGTGCGTTTGAAATAGAAGCCATCCTGTTTCAAAAGATAACTTTTAGCTGAAATCTTTTCCAAGGTAACATTTACCTTGGTAAACACTTCTTTCACCTGTTTGAAATAAAAACATCAAAGTCGAGGAAATTGTTCATTGTTCGTGTGCCTGGTAACTTCACCTGCCGATTTTTACCCCGTATAAAGCATGATTCGTTAGCTTATACTCATCATATACCGGAAGGAATTTTATACACATTTTGCATGTTCGGTTTTCTTCATTCCCTATTCTCATCATTTCCTTTGGAAAATTATACTTTTTTCACTCTGAGTTCGTATGTCCTGGACAACACTGCAGGGGAAGCATATTTGAGTTAATCCTATGCCTTAGACTAGCGTTACAACCTGGATTTAAATTAGAAAAAGTGGACGCCTGAAGAATCTTTGTACTCATGGGTTCTGAGGGAAAAAGGCACGGGTGGAAAAGAGCTAATTCAAAGATGGAGAAAAGAGCTAATTCCAAGATGGAGATTTGACCTGGAAACAGATCTCATGCCCTGAACCCAATTTGGACTAGAAACTGGAAATTGCAGTCAGTAAATCCTTACATGTATGTTATTGCTTAAACTAGAGAGAAAACTCACTTGTAATCATTAATCCTGACAACAAAAGAGAAGTGGCAAGGTAATCAAGACAAGAGGGTCTGAATGTCTTGCCTAGGATATGACTGTTTGGATTTGATTTTAGAGAAAGTGAACTCGCCTGGTATTTTCTACATCATCTGGAACATCTATCTTCAAAAGTACCTTTGCCCTTTTTAATGGGTCCATTGCCCTCTTAATCACTGGGATCACGTTCATCTTTGACTACTTTCTCTCCCACTTTCTGTCTTTAATCATTTACCAAGAGCAGATGATGACTCCATTTTTTTCTTCTCAGTCTTCTGCTATTGCTTGAAGAGTTCCCAACTTATCCTCCTGCTGCTGCCAAGTAGAAAAACTTCCAGATATTTCTAATAACTTTTCCAATTTCCAGATTCCACTTTCCCTAAAACAAAAAGCTTGCCTCATGGAGCCTAAATTTGTGTTCCCCCAGCATAAATCTCCTTAAATATAATTTATGGGATTCACCTATTCATTCTTAGATATGTTGCTATTATTTAAATTGAGCTTTTCCAGC